AGACGTCCTCTGTGTGGTCGAATCACGAAACCACTAGTAGAAAACACACGCTCGACAGGCGCTGATGTTGCAGGTACGCATAAAAGCCGAAGAGCTAACAAACTAAGATATGGATAGGTTTTTGCTTTTTTGAAAATAAGAGCACTGTCGTCAGACGCTTCCTTCGAGAAAAGAAGTATTTCTTCTTCGATTTGTTCGAGTACACTTGATCGTGTTTTCTTCGTTAATGGTTCCTGTGTCTTATGAAAGGCAAAAAGAGTCTTTCTCTTGAAAGTAACGCTTGTATTGTTACTTGCGACGACAAGAGGTGCTTCAACTACGGTTTCAGCCTTTTCTTGACTATCTGAACCTTGTAATTGTAAAGCTGTTCCGACTCCGGCTCCGATTACAATAATTCACGCCCGGCTCTGGCTCCAATCGCAGTATTTCACGCCCCGGCTCCGGCTCCAACTCCGGCTCCAGGTCCAACTTTTCCTGTCCGGCTCCGGCTCCGTTTATAAGAGAAGCCGGCTCCTAGGAGCCGGGCTGGAATCGATCGGCTCCGGAGCCGGAGCTGCCCATCTCTGCTTTTGAGAGGTAGCTACAAATTCCCTAAGTTGAGTTAGTACAATTTAACTATTACATTATTTAGATTAAAAAATCTAAGAAAAGATTAAAAAAACAAATAAATCGCAATGACTCATTTATAATATCAATCACATATCCATAGCTAAACTGTATCTGAATAACCCGTGACTAAATGGCGCCTGAGTTAGATGCTTGTTGTCAGGAGCGTCTGACAACAAGCTGCTAATGAATATATGATAAATTTCTAAGCCATAAGCACAAATATCTTCCACTTTTGCATCCTTTGGTGCCCGATCCAGAGCGGATTTCACTTTTCGTGAAGAAAACAGTCTTAGTCTTAGTCTTAGTCTCTTAGATTTTGGAAAAAGAACGCTAATAGTCATGATCTGCAGTACCTGGAGAACCGTTTCACGTTTCTAGAAGTTCTCTACATCACTGTGTGCGCATTTTTCAAAAAATGTGACTAAACAAAATAAAAGAAAGAAAAAACTCCGAGTAATCGGATAATGTCTGTCGACATAAAAACATGTTTTTTTCCGATTGTAGCTATCCAGAAGCCTATAGTTTCTCCAGAAATTAATTTTCTCTTGACTAGGTGTTTTTTCGTACTCGAAGAACATTCATTAAATAATTTTTCTCGGATGGGGAGTCGTTTCGTCGAACAAAACTCTTTTTAACAGAGTGGTGTGTTAGTTTAAGGATCCTCTTTGCACATTTTTTTCTAACGGAATATGCAAATTCCAGTGCATATTGAAAAATGATATTTAGTGTAACGTCATCTTTTTCACACTTTTTGTAGCATGCCTCTTCTTCATCTCCGTCGAATTGGGTCATTGGTTCATTTTGATTTACATTATGTTCATCCTTGTGATAAACGCATCAGTGGTTTTGTAGACTACGTAAATTTTTGAACGTCGCTTTACATGAACATTGTAACACCCCATCTCTGCCGGAGTTGTGTACATTTGTTCGATGTAAGACGTCATCGTTTTGAACGGTATATTACAACGAAGACAGTGCATCTCAGACGTACTCATCTAAAAAGCATACTGATGTTGTTTTTTTCCTCTAGATGAAAATTATTTTCCAAACAGAAGAGAAAAAGACGACTATTGTAGGCACTACATATAAAGAGATTATCAATCAAATTCGTGGTTTATTTCCAAAATTCGTACATCATCAGATATTGTTCTACGATCAAGAATTAGCCGATTATTTTGACTTTTTATCGTATGAACAAATAGAAGATTGTTCAAACGGGCTCAAGATGAAATTCAAAGAAGAAGTTTTAACTTTCACACAAGAATCAGACCTTCAAGCATCACAGAATAGAGATAGCCAAAATTATGACCAAGATACAACTCAAGGTCGATCAGAAACAAAATTAGAGCGGAAAAAAAGAGAACGCGGAAGCAAACGGCGGAAAAGGTAATATATCTTCTGTTACCAAGTTTCACCAAATAAACATTGTCTTAATTTTATAGAAAGACTATGAAATTAAATTGCCAGATTATTCCAAACACTTTGTGGGAGTATTAGATTCCAATAAAAAAGGTAAAGACGACAGCTGAAAACAACTTAGCTATAGAAATTATGAGATACTTATTCTATTTTAGACGAATTTGGACGTATACAAAAACAATTTTAGAAATCACACGAGAGTATTATTTGAGCACGTACGAAGACGATTCGACATCAATCCATAAAGACTTCTGTCTAAAACTGGCTGAAAAATATCCAATTTTAACATATTTAGACAAAACAAAAGACGGAAGAGATGGTCGTTCACCACATGTAGGTTAACTGTCACTAATAACAGCTATAAAGCAAAAAATATCCTCTATGTAATTTATTTACTTTTGTTTAGGCTACTATATCCAGATTATTGTCACAAACCAAGCGAAATCGTCGGTTTTACATGCGACATCCACCAACAATAAAACGAAAATCGATGTTAGAAGCAACTGTTATAGACGAACCTGAAGAAGACAATACCAAAGAAAATCAAGAGCCAAATCCAGACGAACAGCAGCTATCGTTCTCTTCACTCAAAGCCAACCATCGTCACCAATATCCATTGAACATCCCAGATTGCTATTTTCAAAAGTAAGAATCTGATCTAAAAAAGCAAAGAAGAAAACCTTTTCCTCTTTAGATTATAGGAAAGATAATATTGATAAGAAAGATTCGTCAGTTCCAAAGCAAAGTCAATCACAACTCGGTAAGGATTTGCTAGCAATATTATTTATTGTTGTCTAAGCCTTTTGTACAATTTTGAAATCATCAAGACAGTACAATACAATTTTCCTTCGATGCGACATTGGAAAGTGTATTGAAAATGAAGTCTTCATCACAAAAAACTGACTTCATTACGGATTTAAAACATTTAGAATCACTCGTTCGTCCAAACGCAAGACACACAATAAACAAATCATCTGCCGTCGAGATATGTTCTCTAATAAAGAGTACATTTTATGGTACGTAAATAAACCTAGCAGCGGATTCGAGTATTTCTTGTTAACATTCGTCCATGAGCTTGTGTAAACTCTCTCTTTGCTTGTGTAACATGCAGAATTCAATTCTCTATCGAATGGTGGTTTTATGATGGGGGTCATAGAGCGAAAAATGGGGTTCAGTCCTTAAATACTGGTTCTGTACCTAGGTTTTCGAGGTATTTCTTGCTAATATTCGTATATGGAATAGCGCTCGTCTCTATTGGCTCACTGAAAAAAAACTTCTCAAAGAGAAAACAAAAGACGGAAAATATGACCTTAAAAGTACTATGGGTGAAGTTGTTTTTAAATTTGTTAAACCAATGCAAACTTTTCCAATCTAGTCCAAATGTACTTGTACCGCTTGTCCGAAACCACTACGTGAACATACGAGTATGGAAATCTCGTTAACGTAAGTTACTATCAAATGAAAATTACTATTTGA